CAAAAATTGGTGTTCGTTAAATCGATTTTCCTCGAAAACGGATCGAGATACCGAAATGAAACAAGAGTACATAATTAATGGAAAAATGATTGCTCTTTCAGGTTTTGAATCAAGGTCGATGTTAGATATACAGGGTAAAAAGTTATTAACTAAATTTTCGGTAAAATTGGTCGTAAGTGGCGCCCTCTACGAGCAATGCTGAAATTACACCACGCATCTTATTCGTCGCCTAAAAAAATATAGTTTCACAAATTTTCAAGTTCCTAACCTACATATTTTCAGAATAATCGCAAAAAAAACGATTTAAAATTTTAACTTTCAACACCCTGTATTTCCGAAACTATCAAGTTTCGGATAAGGCATGTTTGCGCCAATGATCACCATTTCACGTGTAGTATCTCCAGCTTTCGATTTTCCCATTGTTAATGAATCACCCTGTATAACCTTTTCATTATCCGGGATATTCAAAGTTGACATCGAAGATGTACTACTTAGGTCAGAATCTGAAGATTGATACTGTTCATGTTCATAAAAAAGTATTAGTGAAGATAATTTTTATAAAATTATGTGGTGAGCATTAAAATGTTCACTAAATATTGGGAGAGTCCTAGATGCAAAAAAAATTCATTCAAATGCACAGTCCAGGCAAATATTTCAGGAGTGTTCTAGATCAAACTTGAAGACACTGTGCATATACATATAAAGTATAATTACTTATTTTTTCTGGTAGATTTAGTGTGGGAACTACATTTTTTGCTAATTTGCGGATAACATTTTCTTCAAAGTAATTATACGTGAACATATACGTGAAAATTTTTATGGTATCGAATCCTGTTTTTTAAAACTTTCACCTATCTGTACTTTATATCAACATCCTTTGGAAATCTGTAAAAATTTAGATATTAGATTCGAAAAATCGAAGCAAATATAAAAATTTGGTAATTATTTATTTTACCTGAAAACTCTGATTTTTCTAATCAAATTTTGTCAACCCCCTTTTTCCAGGGTGCTGAACATGAATTTGAAATTAATTTTTTGTTATTTTTTCGATCACAAAAAATAATATCACATTAATTTTGAGCGCCCTCAGAATTACGGGAATTGGAAAAATTTCATATAAATTAAAAACTTTTACGTAAAGTAAAGTAAAATAATTATTAAAAATATGATACAATCAACTTTTCGGTTCTCTTCACCAACTTGTGTATTTTCGCTTTTGACCACCAGATTTCGTCAAGTGTCACAGTCGTAACTATACACAATGGTAATAAAATTGAACTAGTGCATTTAGTAAGGGACTAATTTAAAAATTATAGATAATGACAGGAAAATTAAGACGGTTTTGGCCCTTGAAACTTACTGGAGTAATCAGTATGACCCTAAGTCTGGAGAGTTTGGAAACCACTGATCTACAACAACGGGCCAACATGAAATATTTCACATGGCATTTGTTGCCTACCTATGAAATCATATACAAAAAGTAGCTGTCTATGATTAAATATACGTTTGTTAAAAAATCGAGAAGTATATCTTCTTTATGGTCCAATTTCAAAATACTGTTTATAAGCAAAAATATTTCGAATTATGAAAATAATTGCATAATATGCAATTAATCATTAAAGCAAGTTTAAGTTTTAAATAAGTTTTCCTTTATTATTAAATTTCAGAAGAATATTATATAAAAATGTACGTTTGTTTTACGTTATCTCAACAACTTACAAACCACAGTGTATAACTGACAAATTTAATAATAAATAATGTATCTAGCATTATTTTTCAGGAATAATGAAAATAACTTATGCAGGTGAGGAAGTCATGTCAGACTGCATTCCAGTGGACATTTTTGTAAAGTTTTTAATTCTAATTACCTATGAAAGAGCATTATCTAAGTAAGTAGTATATTCCCATTGTTAGGTCTGTCAGAGAGAGTTGCAATCCAATGGCGTGCCAAGCAGGTCAACCGAGACATGCTTGACCCGCTGCCTCAGAATACTCAGTTCTGAAAGCTTTACTAGAGCTGTCAGAACTGGTAGCCGCGGGACATAGTGTTTGTTGTCCTAGAGGCTACAGATCCCCTTACGCTCCATTATCCATTAGTGTAGACCTGGACAGCCTTCGTAGGTGGGCTCCATCCGTCGTCTACCCCGACCGCAAATGCGGCCGGTGTAGGCGCTTTGTGGGACCTCCTTTTGTCCTGGCTGGGCCCCGCCGGCTAGGGCCCTTTCTTCTGGCGCTCTTCTTGCTTCGCCGGCTCGTCTGTGTAAACCCCGGGGGTAGTGTCATGTTTATGTGTGGTATGGTTGGGTAGGGTAGTGCGGCTATGCAGCCTGGGATGCGCTTTGCTAAGGTGGCCCTTAGGCTAGCGCGGGAGGGGAGGGTTAAGGAGGGTATGGGGGGTGTGTGTGTGTGTGTGTGTGTGTCGTTGTCTTCGTTTCTTGATCCTGGCTGTCTCTGAAACAGAAAAGGTTAGCGGGCAGGGGGGGGGTCATTGGGGTGGTCACCCAGGGTCAAAAAGTTGGTGTCTAGGTCTTTTGTGTTTGTCGGTCACGTCGGGTACGTAGTCAACGGCTTGCCTGAGGAGGGGATTGTCATGTCTAGCGGCTACGTCAAATCGTTTCTCCGCGTTTTGTCTTATTGTCTGTGTAGCGTTTGTGTATTGTAAGTCTCGTAATATGTCAGTGTTTCTTACGTACCAGGGCGCGTCGGTGGCCGTGCGGAGGGCTATGTTTTCCACAGCCTGTAATGACTTTAAGTGGCTTTTTGCCGCGTGACCCCACGCCGTGGAGGCGTAGGTTAGCTGCGGTTGAAGTACCACCTTGATAAGCGTTCGCTTATTCCTTAAACTGAGGGTGTTTCCACCTTTGAGTAAGGGATAGAGCCTAGCCCTGGTGGTCTTCGCTCGCGCCACCGTCTCCACGATGTGCGGTTTCCACGTGAGACGCTGGTCCATCGTCACGCCCAGGTATCGTGTTTGTCGATTCCAGGAGATGGGTTCCTGGGATAGTGTCAGTCTGTCGAGGTTTTGTGGGATTTTTCGTTTGGTAAAAAGGATAGCCGAACTTTTGTTGGGATTAATTTTGACTTTCCACCTGTTGCACCAGGTTTCAAGTTGGTCTAAGGAGCTTTGGAGGAGGTAGACGGAATATCTAGGATCTACGGATTGGGATGTGATTGTCAGGTCGTCGGCGTATAAGTATATGTTGGTGTTGAGGGGATGTGGGATGTCGGAATTGTAAATGGTGTATAGGTGTGGGGACAGGGCCTCCATGGGACGGGTGGTGGAAAGTGAATTTTGGATTTGGATGCGGAAAATATCCTGCGCCAATATCCTCGGATGGAGCGGGGCCGAGCGGGATTATCGCTCTTTACCCACTTCATCGCTGTAGGCCCGGACGCCTCGTAGAGGTAGGCCCGTTCCCCGTCATTCCAGGCCGCCAACGCGGCCGGATTCGAACGGTTCATGGGGCCTCCTCCTGTCCTGGCTGGGCCCCGCCAGCTAGGGCCCTTTCTTCTGGCGCTCTTTTTTCTTCGCCGGCTCGTCTGTGTAAACCCCCGGGGGTGTCGTGTATCGGTCGCAAACGACGACAGTCGTTTGCCACCGGGGTGGTGGTTTTGGCTGAGGTTCAAGTTGGTCTATTGCTACCTTCGCTTTTATGTGCCACCCTTAAACTAATCAGCGTCGAGGGTTCGTTCCACCCCGAACGCAGCGACCTGATTGGACGGCAGGGATTTGGTAGAAACACTTTTGTTACTTGCATTAAAAAAAAAAAAGACGCAGTTTCTAAAATTACTGGGTAGTAAGCGAATTAACATTGATCCTTGTGGGAAAATATGCATATAAAATGGGTGAAATTTCAGGGAGAAATTCAGTTCCAATCCATATTTGATCTTGTTACGATTGTGTTCTCGCTACGTTTTATTGTTAAAGTTTTAAAAGTATTAGTTGTGTGTTAAAAGTTTAGTTTTGTGTAAATTAGGTGTATCCTAAACATTTTATGCAGAGGGTTCTCTTTACACGGTCTGTAAAATTCAAAATTTTTTAAATAATTATTTTTCCAAAATTTTATTGCAAAACGCATAAAAGTTTATTTAAGAAATTACATAAAGTACAAGGTACTCTTTTTCCTGTGGTCATCTTGATATTTATGAATTTTATCTGCGAATTTTGTAAATTATAGTTATGAAAATATTAATTAATAATCGTTATTTTTCTAATTAGTTATAAATTATTTACCAAGTAGTGATAATCCGTACTTATTTATTGTTAGGTAATCAATAATCATATATAGTTTAAATATACTCCATTCATTTATCCATTCTAGTCGATGTAGCTAAAAAAGTATTTCTTTAGTTATAGTTATTCGGTATTATAGTAAAAATCTACATTTTTGTACTCACGTATATTGTTATTGCCACAAATCTATTATTTTTATTTAAATATATATCTTACTTATTGTTCGAAAGCATCTTTTTATTAGAATCAGCTAAACATTTCACAATTTCGAACTTGAAATCAAAAGATTATTGCAAATTTTATTTTCAAAAGTTGACCTAGAACAAAGAGGAACTATTCAAAATTACTAGAGTTTGTAAATTTACTTCAAAATTTACTGGCGCCTGACAAATTTTCTTAATTTTTTTAAAATATAAAACTAAAGGGAACCCCGACATCTACGAATTTCGCGACCCACTCAAAAACAAGCCGTGTATGTTGATAATAGGTGTACGTATTATTTATTAAAAAGCAACAAATTAAAATGTTTACAGTACACCAACATAAGCACCAACGGATAGAAATTAATTACGCAACATCCGGTCGATAACAAAGCAGCGGGGAAGGCACTCTGAGGCAGCATGTCTCGGTTGACCTTCTTGGCACGCCATTGAATTGCGATTCTCTCTGACAGCCTTAGTTGTAATAACCCTAGTTACCACACTTACTATGTAATGTAGTATTAGGACATATGCTAATATCTCTTTTTCATTTTTACATGTGATGTAGAATCATCCCTTTAAATAAACTCCCGGATACCCTCTATAATTTAATAACTATTTAAATTTATCATAATAGTACTGAGTGAATAGGTTTATGTATTCCAATAATAAATATTTTCAGGGACTTACATGAAGTATCAATATACAATACCACTGCTGGTGAGGACTTTTGTATAAGACTTAATTATATATCTGAAATAAGTTCAAAAATAATATGGGACGGACCATATACAAATTTATTTTGGTACCCTTCATATTCCATGACAAACAACTGGTACAAGTATTATGTAACTTTCCTTTTATGCCACATGCTACCTGCATTGATTTTTGATGGTTTACTGAAGCTTGTTGGGAAAAATCCAATGTAAGTACAATTAATTCATAAACTGTGATAATTGTTCTCTTACACCTAAAATTTTTTCTTCGTTCACTCCAGATAATAATTCATAAATAAACTGGCATTTATTATTTAAGTTCCATCATCTCATTTTCCATTTTAAATCGCCCTGTCGACAAGGCAATTCAAACAGAATGAAATGCATACTGTCTATTACTAACTTCGCTATTATTTAAGATACTAAATCTGTTACATTACTAAAAAAATATTAAACATAGTATTCTATATTGACAAATTAAAAGAAGATAAGAATTTAAGAAAATGAGTTCCTCTGAAGGTCGTCCAAATTTACATTTTGAAAATTTTCACACGGTAACTCAAAAACGGCGAACACTGCAAAAAATGTATAGGTGAAATTTCTAAGCAAAATTTCCATATCCTGTGAACTTTTCATTAAAATTAATGATTTTCTTGTAAATTTCAAATGCAAATGAATATTTTTAAAGATTTTCAAAAATAAGATTCTAAGAATAAGAAATACGATCAATTCTTTGAACCCATTTATTTTTAGTATACATATATTGAAATATTTTCTAATGAAATTTGTAATTTTTTTTTAAATCAACACGAACTTTTCAACGCTTCATTACATTCCCTGTCACACCATTTAGTACTGAGAAAAAAAATATGGCATATTTTGAAAAATTTGTGTTATAATTTTTGTTTTAGACGATTTTACAATTTATGTAAAAAACCAGAGAGTTTTTTGATAGTTAACATGATTGCTCTAATTTGTAATCGAGGAAATACCATTTTTCCTTTTACTGTGAATGCTATCAATATAAATTTAAGGATAAAAAGTGCAAAAAAAAAACACCTAAACACATTTTGTTCCATGCATCGATACCGGAAACCGGAAGGGTACCTATTAGACCAAGGCGAATCTGTCGAAAATATCCCACTACTTGGATGTAAGAGGAGGCAAGCTAATTTTAGCTAGAATACCTTGAGTACAAAATTATAATTTTTGAAAAGAACTAAATTGCAAATTGATAAATGTAATCTAATTGTTTAAAAATAAAAAAATAACTTTAACAATTTACTGTGGGCACCCTAATCAAGCAATTTCAATTTTTCAAAAACCATTTGAAAGGCTGAGCGGTCTTTTCTATGTGAAAAAATTTTCTAGTGTCTAGATGCTTTATTTGAAAATTCGAAACATTTTTTTCAAAATTTTTTCCAAAAAATTATTTTGCGAAAATTATCCAACCGATTTTAATGAAATTTGGTGTGTTATTTTATTATACTCTAAAGCCTTTTTACCAAAATTAGAATGCCCTCGGAGCAATTAAAATATGTTTAAAAAATTATCCAAAAAACTCGATTATTTTGCCTTTTTAAATTTTTAAATTTAAACATTTTTAACTTGCAGTATATTGTGCAAAATTCAATTCTAAAACTTTTTTTCCATTTCAATATTCTTCCAAAATGCATAGATTCCAAGATATAAGTAAAAATCTCAGATAAAATAGGTTTTCCTTTTAATTTTTTAATTTTGCAATTTTGAAAATGTTCCGGTAGATCTACGGATCTACACTTTTATTATGTGAGTTGTACTGAAGGTAATCTAGAAAAAATTTGCTTGCCCCCTCTCACGTCCACCTCAAAACAGATCCGCCCTGGTCTATATGTACTGTATATCTAACTGTATATGTGTATATCGAATATATGTACTTTTTCGAAAACTGTCATTAAAAGTTGACTTTTACTTGATATTTATTAAGTGTCTAAACAACAGTTAGAACGTAAAAGTTTTTTACATCCAGGATGTAAAGGACTTTTGCATCCACCTACAACAACCAATGAAATTATACAGGGTGTATACCAAAGAATGAGCTATACTGTAAGGTTAGCTTCCTTGAATGAAAATAAGGTGACTTAAATCAACTTACCTTAGCATTGAACTTCCGCTTATACCGGAAGTTGTCACCAACTTTGTTATTTTAAATGGAACACCCTGTATATTAGTGCATTATTGGATACGTTAAAGTTTGTATAAACTTTTCCATATTTAAAATTAGCCGTTTTCAAGATAACGTGATTTTAAAAAAATGGCAAGCAGCACTGTTGGCTTCAAAAGTATATGCCTTAGAAACAGTTCACGTGGAAATTTTTATTTTTGGATCAATGAAAGTAGAAGTCATGGGGTTCCTTACGATGTTTTCAATATTAGCCATTTTTATACAAGGCCCTGAAAACTAATTGACAAATCCGAGGAAATTCAAACGTGTGTAAGTCATTTTTTTAAATGGAACAACCTGTATATTTTCGCATTTCTGGATTTACTAAAAAAATCTACATCAGTACATACAAGGGTTGGTATAGTTATTCTTGATGGTTTCTAATTTATCACCACTTTTCTGTTATGTAGTTGGTTGTTGTTGAACACATACATGTCTAGTAAATAAATTATAAATATCAAAATTTTCTCTTCACATTTTTAGATTTTTGAACTGTGGGACACAGTTTTCGAAAAACTGTTGTTTGATACTCGATTGCGAAATATTCTTCTGCATTCTCGAATGGTTTCATGAAAAGCTTTCATTCTCTTTCAGCTTCTTTTGTGGTTATTTCAAGCGCATATTATTGATAATAAAGCACTATGAGCCAGGAACCTGAAAAAGTGGCTAAAATACTAAAAGTGCTCCAATTGTTATGAAATGTGGTACTACAAGGTTTTTGGGGTCGCTGATCCGTACTCAAAATTAAGAAATTCAAAATGGCGGATACAATATGGCGTACGAAAATGCTGAAGATACTCTGATTGTGCTGAAATTTGCGATCAATAGGTTTTCGGGGTCGCTAATTTTGAATCTGTACTCAAAATTTAGAAATTCAAAATGGCGGATCCAATACGATTACTATAAAATTACAAAATGAGATTATGTAATTGAAACGCCTGCAGCTCGCCTACTATATTTGTAAAAAATTTTATTAGATCAAAATTAAAAGCGGAAGGAATGATGCAATTTAGATAATTCTCCTCTCGACTAAAAAAGAACAACTCAATCGACAAAATCAGTACGTATGTACACGCGTACAGTCAAGTCGCGAAATCGTAACTAATACAAGCGATTTTTAACTTAATTGCGTTTACATAGACAGTGTATTTTCGAACAGCCCAACTTGTCTGGCATTTTTAATTTGTGTTTGTAAGTGTATTTTTTATTAAAAAACGAATTACCAGACAAAAAAAAGACACTGAAGTTTTCATCAATTTTTTTACAACTATTTAATTTAATTTATTTTTTTTTAATTTTAAATTTTCGCACAACCCAATTTATCTGGCGTTTTAACCTGAAGTACAAATATGTATTTTTAATAGAATACAAAATGCCAGACAAACATAAATCGTTTAAATTAGAAAAAAAGAAAACCAAGTTTTCATTAATTTTTTTGTAACTTTTCAATTCATTTATACATTTTCGAAGATCTGAACTTGTCTGGCATTTGTATATTGTTTTTATACACGCATTTCTAGTTGAAATTCAAAATACCAGACAAAAATAAATCATTTAAACTTTAATATATTTTTTACGAATTTTCTTTTGTGACAAGAAATATGGGTATTAATTTTAAATACCCGAGATACCAAACAAATAGTGATCACTGAAAAATGTTAAAAATTTTCACATAATTTTCCACAGAGAAACTCGACTCCGAACATCGGAAACCGTCTGGCAATTTATTTTAATCATTTTCATAACAAAAATTTTCATTGTATCGATTGCCAGACAAAAAGTAAACGATAAATTTTTTTTCTTCTTGCAAGTTCACCCCTATGAACCACCCTTTCTGCTATTTAAAACCGTCCGTCATCATCAACTGCCAGACACATTAAGATGAGTGAAAATCTACTTATTTTATCCAAACGGAAATTAATTTTCCAAATTTTCGAACACGGGTCGGACCTTACAACGACCCTTATTTTCATCAGCTAACTTACTTTCTTTTTCAGACATCAAAATGCCAGACATTTTTCGATGACGCCACACCCATGTGCATTAGCTCACGGTCTATATTTACAAAATATCGCTGAATGAGTTCATAGTAGACATTATAGTTAAGATCTTGACACCTTAAATTTTTTATTAGAAGATGCAGTTACGGGGAACTGGGAAACGGCAATTTGTACAAAACTCAAAACCGAAAAAAATAATAAAAATGGTTTCGCAGAAATCACAATATTCAAGTCAGGTTAATCTCCTCATATGGTTAATACCTTTTTCGGATTGAAATATCAGTAATACTGATATTACATAGAACATTAACTTCAGAATTCATAAGCTCAATTTTTCAAATTTTCAAAATCTGTGCTTTTTATGAGAGACATACATTTTGTACTAAAGTATTTTTGAGAATTTTTTCAATTTTTTTCTCAGCGCCGTTTTTTATTATAAATGAATAGATATTAAATCGAAGTAATTAGTTGGAATATTTCTTATAATACTGCCCTGAGGGTTTCTTTTATTCGTAATCAGCGACTCGAAAAACCCCCGGGTACTGATTTTCACGAAAATTTAAATCTTTTTTTGAATTATTGGTCCGTCATATTGGATGGGCCATTCTGAATTTTACAATTCTGACTTCTGATTCGTAATCAGCGACCCCGAAAATAAATCGCTGGTCTCATATATGATTTTTAAAAGTTTAACTCGTTGCCACATTGAGAGTAGTCGGTCAAATTCAATAAAACTTTAATTATAAATTAACTAACATTTGTTTGAACTAATCTCCGCCGTCGCTTTTTGACCACTTTTACAGTTTCCGGGCCCATGCAGTGTTACATTTTGTCCACATATACTGCAATTTGTCCTTCTTTTACTTCCTTTGAAAGAAAAAATATTTCAATAATTTAATTTTTAGTATGACTAAAATTCAAAGGAAAGTATACCTGGCCAATATGGCCTTGAAATACTTTATGCAACATACCTTTAAATTTAAAAATGCGAGTTCTATGGCGTTGCACAGACATTTAGAGGAGTCCGAAATGGAGAGATTTTCTTTCATACATTATCTTGGCTTCAACGAAGAATACGCATATTACCTCAATACGAAAATAGCAACTTCGACGTTATTTAATGAAAAATTTAACAGAAAAAAAGGATTTAGGAACACAATGATGTAAGTAAACATTCCAAAGTAATTCAAGTTACGGTTATGTAAATCATATGTGTATAAAAAAACAATTGACTCTTGCATCTCATTCAAGTATAAACATTAAAAATATAAAAAATCGTAATTCTAAATAAATAGAAATAGACATATAAACTACAAAATACGTTCTAGTTTCTACAATATCAGTATGTTAGAAAATTCAGGTGCCACAGATAACAAATTATTTATGGTTTATATCACACTGCATAGATATTAAATTATAATTATTTGCCATTACACATAGATGGGAGATTTAAGAAGTATGTTGGTTTTAGCAATCCCACAATAGAACATGCAATCAGCACGAGACCCATGTCTAGGAACTCGTATATTGAAGAACCCAGTAGATATGCTGAGTCAACACTGGCATGAAAAAGTTTAAATAAGAACGATAAACTATTGAGTATTCTCTCTAGTCTGCAAAGCCTGCATTTTGAATCGATCTAACAGCAGCCTATGTTCATATCCTCCATTTGGATAACAACCATCAATTCGAAAGCTTAAATATTTAAGAAAAAGACTTTTTCAAGCTTGTTAGTGTATATCTGGTAGTAAGGGCTATATAAGGCTGAAGTATTCTAATTTAGAACGAAAGAGATAAATTATTTATAGATAAAATAAAAAGAAGTGGTCGTAAATTTGACCCTCGGGGTACTCCAGACGTCGCTATAAAATTGTCAGATTTAAATCTGTTGTATGAAACATATAGTTAACATTGAGAAAGATATGATTTAATGAGAAGAATCAGATTATCATTTAAGCCAAATAAACTTAACTTATTAAGAAGTATGCTTATTAACTTTGTCAAAGGCCTTCGAGAAATCTGTATACACCACATCAACTTGTCGATGTGTTGTTATCGATATCATATGCTGTATACTGAGTAAATTGAGCTAAATTTAATGTTAAATGTGGGGTATGTGGTGGATCATATGCAATTTGATGTAATGAATGAAAAATTACTTTCCGGAAAATTTTGAAGAATGTAGCGAACATGGGGAAAGATTTTACCAGGATATTCAAGAAATGGAACGACGGTATCAAGGAAAGCGAGACGTGAATATGATGGTGGATTGCTGTTGGATGTTGAAAAGAGGTATTCCTGAAACTGGAAAATAAAGGAAAAGGGCACCACTACATAGATCTTTTGAAAGCAAAAGAGTTCGTTATCATAAAATGAACTAACTTGATAAACCACGGACTAACTTAAGGGAAAAAAAGCAAACGTACATCCGTATTCTGATATTTTATGAATTAAAGGCATTTTGATGCTCAAAATTGGTTAAAAATTTTGGAGAAAAAAGTGCAGGAATATAACGGTTTTTTTTTTCGCTTCCTACTGTAGCCATTTGAATGGCACAGTTGGGAGTCAGTACGACAGATGGAGCCATTTGCGCTCCCGCGTACAATGTATTTCCTTATCGTGACGATACGACGCAAAACAGCTGGTTCGGTCGTCAGTTGTCTCACCTATGACAAACTGATGAGGACTAATAAGTCCGAAACCGGTCTGTGCCTGGTGGGTGAAACTGACGAACGATCCTAGCAGTTGCACTAGGTGTTACGAGTATAATTAAATGCCGGTAGGGGCATATAGCCCTCGGAGTAGTTTTTTCTCGCAACACTGACAATTAAAACATTGTCTTCGCCCTCTGTGGGTGGCAGTCGTGCAACAAGTACCTGCAATATAGCAGGTCGCTTCCTACTGTAGCCATTTGAATGTGGCACAGTTGGGAGTCAGCACGACAGATGGAGCCATTTGCGCTCCCGCGTACAATAAAACGTTTTTATATTAACCTTATTACACTTTTGAGCTATTTTTTGAAGTGATAGTGCATTTCTGATGGCTCCATCTTCTTCAGCGAGAAAATACAGGGGGTATCATACTCTATTATTATTGTAACAAAAAAAAAAGAGAGAAGTCGAAGTAATGATAAATATACAAGATGTTTCATTAAAAAAAAAACAAAGGTTTGATCTATATCGTCGAAGTGCAACAGTCAATTGTTCTTTACACATTGCATTGCTTTGAAATCGCAAGAAAATTTCCTATAACTTTGATCTTTAAGATAGGAAGAATGTTATATGAATCTTTATGATAAAATAGCTATAATGTTATTTGCAATCCATGACATCTGACAACTTTTCAAAAAATATATTTAAAAAAACTCAAAACGATTGAATATAGGTGTAAAGATGTTCCATTTGCGATTCAAAAATTGTTTTTTCTCGAAAACAGTTCATTTTATCGATATCAACCAAGAGTATATTTTTTTTAGTATAAGATTGAAGCTATCTAATAATATTATTTTTTGTGTCTTAATCGTACAGGGTGTAAAAATTTACATTACTGTGCTACAGCTAGACCGTCCCTGGCAAAGCAAATAAGCCAAATTGTTTTCATGGGTCAATTTTTTAAGTCTTATCTGTTACATTAAAAAATAGTTAAATTACAACACAAAGTATTTTAAAAGTTATTCAAAAAAATCGATTTACAAAATTTTTATAGGAACTTGTCATGTTATTTTAACGTCCCCTTTATAAATCCGAGAGATTGCCCGCATATTCTGGGACACCCTGTATATCTTGAATTAACAAATCTATTTTTACTCCGTATAATGAATACAAATATATTTTTTCATTGTTAATGCTACAGAATATATTAGCACCTGTTTACTATTTTTGTTTATTTCAGATTGTGGATATTGGACAGGATACTGCGCATTACTATTTTTGGGGTGCTGTGTTGGTACCTTATAACAAAAATGAAAATTGCAACTATCTTTAACAATATGGCAGATTCCTTCATATGCTATTTAAACCAATTGTAATTTTTTAAGTCATCATTGTGGCTACATATAATACAATAAATAATTATTATTATTATAAGTCTTCATAATACCTATAACAGTTGAACGCTAAAAATGGACACCAAAGACAAAATAATAATAAACAAGTGTCTTTCCATGGTTCTGTTGTCGATTTCAGTATCGACGCAATGAAAGTAGAATTATACTTGACTTACTCCATGGGCAATTTGATATTGACATCAAACGTAACATTGAATTCTTTAATTTTTGCATTAGGCAACTTATGAAGGAACAGAAACCCTTAAATGACAGTGCATTGTTTAAAATGACCCCTAATAGTACAATGTTTATATAAATACATGTGCCCAATAATTTCACTTACTAGTTTTTAAATTATTCAAACAAAAATCAAAAACATTTTTTTAAGTGTAACACCCTGTATATGTTTAACAAAGCATACTAGATTAAAACTTTATACGAAAGACTCTTTAAAATTCACCAAAGAACACGAGGTTTCATTTTTCACCCTGTATTTCAATAAATAATATTTATAATGATCTATAATGATGAATAGGGGAATATTAATATAATTTTTATAATTATAATTGCGAGGAATACCATTTTTTTAGTGTTAAATTAAATTTAGTGGTAGAAAATTATGACTTTAAAATTATAAGGGGATTTTTTATAAGTTAAGAACTTTGTACGAATATTTTTTAGTGATAAACAAGTTGTATTTTTAGCCATTTGCCAAACGATTGTAGGTAGTTACCTATTTTAAATTATTACAAGTAACAGTGGTTAATGTCTGTTAATTAAATTACGATGTTTTCTCGAACTGTTATACCGTTGCAGATTTACATTTTACTTCCTTAGCCTTTGCTAGGACTCTTTAACTTGCCCTTGTTATTCTCGGGTTAGGCTCACTTGTGGGAATCCGCTATCAAAACCCCTTGGCTCACACTAATATTCATTTCCGTCCTTGTTGTTGGTTCGAAAGCCGCTGTGGTCCGCTGAAGAAGTGGAGAACAACAAGGACAGTTCGAAAATGTCCAGCTAAGGCTATGGAAGTGCATTGTACTCTAAATTACAAGTAATAAAAATGATTAATGATCATTATGTTGTCATTTGTAGACGATACAGGCATGGTTTTAAAATTTTTGATGTTTTCAGAGGATAACAGCTAATAAATATATTATTTTTGATCAATGAACGAGATATGTAAAATATTTACATCAGGTTAAACTTACTATAAATATACGATAAAGTTCTTTCGTATTCCCAGTATAAATAAATTCATACAAATTTAAAATATTATAGACGATAAAAGATTTATTGGCGTTAATTTATTATAAATAAAATGCTATAATTAGACATAAACGCAATAAAATCTGTGCTCTTATTGAACTCGTTTATTTGTCGGGCTTCTGTGTTTTTCGCAGATAAATCTGAAATAAATCAAAAATAAAAACACTTTACTATCAATATTTGGTTTACGGAAATAGTGAGGATATATTCTCAATGTTAATTTTCAAATTTAATACTTTTACTTATATATTAGTTCTCGAAAAAATAAAGTAATAAAACTTCGCATGAGCTTTGTCTATTTCTTAAAAGCTTATCTGGATGTTTCCTAAAATCAAAAGGATATTAAGAAATTAAATGACTTTTTCGCATGAATTATGTTCCCAATGGCATCATACTGGAATTTTAGTAAACATATATTTTGAGATGCCCTAAATGATCTAATTTGATTGGTACAAAGACTGCATTTTATATTTTGGGGAACTAAGAACAAAAAAAAAATTCATCGTTCTATCGTTTTTCAAAATATTGTCCATGAAGATCAATACATTTTTGCATGTGCTTGAACTAATTTTCGAAACACGTTTCAATTCCGAATGAGGTATGTGGCTGAATTATTTTTCAAAATATTCTAAATGAAGATCAGTACACTTTTGCATGCGCTTGAACTAATTTTCGAAACATTTTTTCCATTCCGCTTCTTCAAACGTCGAAAAACGTCATTGGACGTCATCAATTAGACTTTCTCAGTTCCCAAAAAATTTCATATGACGATTTTGCAATATTAGTTCACGTAATTCGTCAGTGAGCGTGGTTTTTGATGATGCGTCATCGAAAAAAATTGAATTAAGTTCATCGATGCACTGTTATTGAGATAATCTATAGATTGAGATAAGATTGTATGGAAATATTCACGGCTTAATTCCATTTTTTGGCAAAGATGAATTTTTCAAGTCACTGTAATCGACACAAATAGCGCCTATACGTCAAAACGTTCTAAGAAAATATACTGACAAAAAATTTTACGACAGGAACATTGGTTGTCATATGACAGCACCAAGATCGTCCATTCCCGAAAAAGGAGACCCTCGTGCACATGACTTTAGTTATGCTGCCATGTTATGTTTATGATCACAACTTGTTTGAAGTTACAATTTCAGTCTCCCTAATATAATTTTCTCATGAACTTATTCGTTCTATGTAAAAATGGCATTCTTGTCAAAATTATATAAATTTGATAAAACGGAATCACTAGACACTATTCCATTACTGCTGCTTTGTGTTCAAGTAGATATGTGTCAAAATTTTTGCAAACTATAAACTGTACAGGATGTTCGAAAGGAAGCCGTTTCATTTTATACAGGGTGATTCATTAACAATGGGAAAATCGAAAGCTGAAGATACTACACGTCAAATGGTGACCATTGACGCAAACATGCCTTATCCGAAAGTTAATAGTTTCGGAAATACAGGGTGTTGACAGTTAAAACTTTAAATAGTTTTTTTGCGATTATCTTGAAAATATGTAGGTTGGGAACTTGAAAATTTGTGAAACTATATTTTTTAAGCGATGAATAAGATGCGCGTTGTAATTTCAGCGTTGTTCATAGAGGGCGCCACTTACGACCAATTTTACCAAAAATTTAGTTAATAACTTTTTACCCTGTATATTTAACATAAAACTTGATTCAAAACCTGTAAGAGCAATCATTTTCATCTTGTTTCATTTCGGCATCTCTATCCATTTTCGAGAAAAATCAATTTAACGAACACTACGATTTGATAATACGAGAAATTAAAAACGAAACAAACCAAATGTTTCTTCGTGTTATTACAACAATTAACAATAAAACAAATAAAATACGTAATTATGATTTAAAGCAATTGTTCGAAGAATCCACCGTTTGACACTGATACACTTTACACGTTTTCTGAGAGATCTTCGAGTTTGAAACAACATATTGGCATTGCGTCTGACTTCGTTGGTTGCGATTTGTATTCTTTGCCACAACTCTTCAGGCGAGCCAATAGATTCTTTGTAAACTATATCTTTCATTCGAGACCAAATAGAAAAATCAAGAGGATTGAAGTCCAGACTTCTGGGTGGCCAAGCAAAAATGCTTACATGGCCAATCCAGCGATTTAGAAAAACTGCATCTAAATATGCACGCACTGGGGTGCATATCTCTCCTTAAATAACTTCTTCAAGTCGTGGAAGAATTATTTGCTTGGCCACCCAAAAGTCCGGACTTCAATCCTCTTAATATTTCTATTTGGTCTCGAATGAAAGAATCTGTTGGTTCATGTGAAGAGTTGTGGCAAAGAAAACAAATCGCGGCCAACGAAGTCAAACGCAATCCCAATATGTTGTTTCAAACTCGAAGATCTCTCACAAAACGTTGTATAAAGTCTATAAGTGTCAACGGTGGATTCTTCGAAAAATTACTTTAAATCATAATTACGTATTTTATTTGTTTTATTGTTAATTGTTGTAATAACACGAAGAAACATTTGGTTTGTTTCGCTTTTAATTTCTCGGATTATCAACAACATAGTGTTCGTTAAATCGATTTTTCTCGAAAACGAATTGAGATACCGAAATGAAACAAGAATACATAATTAATGGAAAAATGATTGCACTTTCAGATTTTGAATCAAATTTCATGTTAGACATACAGGGTAAAAAGTTATTAACTAAATTTTCGGTAAAATTGGTCGTAAGTGGCGTCCTCTATGAGCAACGCTGGAATTGCAACACGCATCTTATTCGTCGCTTTAAAAAATATAGTTTCAAAAATTTTCAAGTTCCTAATCTACATATTTTCAAAATAATGGAAAAAACGATTTAAAATTTTAACTTTCAACACCTCGTATTTCCGAAACTATCAACTTTCGGATAATGTACATTTGCGCTAATGGTCACCATTTCACGTGTAGTATCTTCAGCTTTTGATTTTCCCATTGTTAATGAATCACCCTGTATATCTAAAACGCAACAATTTGTCTGTGTCTACTAAAACTTTTATCTGCATCATTTTTTTCTAAATACAAATGTAAACAAATTAAAATAACAAATTTTCGTTGGCTCTCTGTTAAAAATTAAATCTTTTGAAGTAGAAGGATAAAAAGAAAAAGATGAAACAAAATCATATCTTATAATAAAAAATCCACAAGGTATTACAAAAATATGAATATCTAATTTGTTCAGCCTTCTACAACACTGTATGCCTCTACCTTGCTCTTTTCCTCATTTTTTTTAACGTATACAGGCCCTATATACATCAGCATTGTCCGATACACTTTCGATTAACTGTTCAACTCCGTTCTCTTACGCTATGGAATAGGATCTATTGAAAACCTGTAAATTATTTTTCTTAGGAGAAGGTTTTCCTCCAAGGAGAGAACCTAGTCCAGGAACCTGGACTAGGTTTTCACTTGACTTTGTAGATTTTATTATTACATCTTCTATATGTTGCTGCAGAGCTAATTCATTTGTCTGAAACAAAAATACGAATATTAACATCATTAGAATATACAAAAGTTGCAAAATTCCACTGACAAAATTAAACAGGTAATTATGTGACCAGAAAACAAGAAAGAAGGGTCATATAAACGTAGGTCTAAAAAGACTTGGTTCTTAACAAACAAGGTCATACGGTTTTTATTCCTTTTTTTGTTTTTTTCATTTGTTTTATAAAGGGTGTTTCAATTAAAACTTCCCACCTGGAAAATATCGAAATTAAAAAAAAAAACAAAAGAACCTGAGGCACAAGGGGTAAGTTTTGGTGTCTTGGAAGCTACCCCTTAGGCAGGGCGTAAAATACCCTTAAACTTTTAATGGCACTCTATGTTGAGTGAGACCTGTTTTAAAACTTTTTTAATTCTGCTCACGACGACATACGATTTTTTAAATTTTGGTGTGGATATGACAATAAAATAATCACTTATAAAGACTAAGACAAAGTTTCAGTGAAGGAAAGAATGTTATTTTTTTAAATATTCAAATTGGTTTCCCTCCGCTTCCATACAATAATAAAATCTTTGCTCCACTTCACATTTCGAGGCCTTTCGGGCGCTATCTGACGTACTTTATTACTCTCATGGCTTATTCGAAATTTGTAATTTTAATCATTGGCAGCAATTTTCATACAAAAATTAAATTTGGAAAACATGGAAGCAAATATATAAAGATGTCATAGTATGTGTTCAAAGTGGCCACCATTTATTTGTATATAAAGATTTAGACGACGAAGAAAATTGAAATGTAAACCACGGACCCCATAAAAAATAATCCAGTGGATTTAAGTCGGGAGAACGTGGTGGCCAATTTACAGGAGCGTCATTACCTCTACCCACCCATGTTGATTTAAATGGTTACGAACAGGTAACGAAAAATGTGGTTGAGCCCCATCATGCATAAACCACATATCTCTCCGAAGTTGTAGAGGTACATGTATCCTCTAACAAGTCTGGCAACGTATTTTGTACATGTTCCAAATAAATTTCTCCCCTTATATCTGTGGTAAAATGACAGGACTAACAATAACATTTCTAATTATTCCTGACCACATATTAATTTTAAATTCGTGTTAAAAATGTCTAACTTTCACTGTGTGTGAATTTTTGTCTGCATAAACGTGTTCATTGTGGAAATTAGTTAACCCTCTCTTGTGAAATACTGTTCCCGAAGTGAAAATCCATTTCTCTTTGCCTATTAGCAAATCGACAAAAACCTACGCGCGTACATCGCTCTCGACATACGTGTGTCTCTTCACGAGTTTTGATAAAGAAAAACTAATAACTATACGGCATGAAATGATTGCTAGGATGCAAGGAACAATATCCGGTAACTTTTTTGGCATTTCATCGAAGTTGAATAATAAAAAAAGCCTTATAAACAAATAAAACCAGCATTTTCGTTGAAATTTCACAACTTTTTAAGCTGCCATTAATTGTTAACTAAATAAAATGGAAAAAAATGGAACTTACCTATCTTGTAAAATAAGGTTCAAGCTTTAAAATGAGATGTCGTGCGTCTCAATCCGTTTAATAGAACCAGAGATATGGTAAAATTTGTGCGCGCGGAGACGGAAAATGTAAGATATTTGCACTAAATTTGTAATAACTTTGGTTAAAGTTAATCTTTTTTAATTTTCAAAAAAATGTATGTTTGTTATGAGCAAACGTAACTATTAACGCATAAAAAATTGTACTAGCTATAATAATAAAAATTTTACAGCCATTTAAACATTTAATTTGTTAATAACAATTAAACTGACCACTTTCAGCTTTTGCGACCAAGTTTTTTGGATTCAGGAGGTCAAGATACTACGAATAAGTTGTTTGCAGCCGTGGCACTCTGGTTGGCCACGGCACCCTATCTGGCTATAATCTCTAGACTATAGTACACGTGCAAACTAAAAGTGGGTCAGATAGAATTCACTGTCGTACAAAATTTGTTTTCGGTTAAATAATAAGTTGTTTGCAGCCGTGGCAGTCTGATTGAACCCTATCTGGCTCCTACACTAAATCTATTAAATTTGTTTTCATTCAATTCAATCATTGACAGTTTCCGAGATAACAAAGTTGTCACATCCAAATTGTACCACCCTGTAGGTATATCAGAGATCTCCCGCAGTCAGATCGGTCGTAAATACCTCCACAAAGCTTCCGTTCTGAAAGTTCACTACCTCTGTCTGCTTCCAGCAGATGTAAATATATGACTGTTTTGAAAGGAACTTTAATTTTAAAGGCTCGATGAAAACCGATAGTTAAATCAAATTATCTGGTTCATAAATAAATCGGAATGTTATTTTGTTTTCACCTCAATATCTGAGATATATCTTTCGTACATATTAAAAATTTGATTTTATCTAAAACATGCACATTTTTCACGTGTTATATCGCTTCAAGTATGTAAATACAAAACTAATTTTACCTTGATTAAATTAACCACGTGCTATTTTAACTTTGATTTTATAGACGTTTTATAAACACGAGAGATATTAAATTTTCCTAGAACCCGTATTCATCTTTTATTATACCCATGTGTAATATAAACGAAAAATTATGCTACGTCATTATCTCGTAAAGGCAGAAAATTATGCGTAACACAAGTGTTTTATGTAGTTAAAATGACGATAACGAGATTAGAATAATGAGTTACCTTTCATAAATAATTCACTGAATATTTCATTGGAAATGTCTAAATTTATGTGCTCTTCTGTGTAAAATGAAAGTGGAGCGTATAAATCAAAACCATTTATTTACTTTTATCGAAAATAAGTATTAAATTTTGAGTTGGGTTTAAATCTGGATCGAAATTCCCATTTTTCATAAAAAAAATAATAAACTGACTAAATAATAATTAATTTTTCAAACTTCCGACCGAATTGTTCCCAAATACTTGATCTCAATAATTTAACTTACTTTTAAAAGTTTTTTCTTTCTTTGCGAAGCGTATAAAAGCCATAAAAGGTAGAGGAACATAATAAGGGACGCTCCTAGAAGGGCAGACAGTCTTGTAGATCCATAAACGACGGCGTGATAAAGACCTAATCCTACCAAGAAGATCACTATTCCAGCAGCGAGATACCTTCCAGTCCGACGTCTTTCTTCCTGAAATTGATAAGCAACTCAACATTTCTCAAAGATCCAAATGTTTCACTGGAACAACATGATTAAGCATTGGTAGTAGTAAATCTACCCTCATTTAGGATAGGTGCCCGATTAGGCCAAGCAAATAAGATTTTTACTCGAAAAAAGTCCTATCCGCGAGATTATTATAAAATTGTCTAAAGGAACATAATACAAGACATCTCTCATCTCGTGAGTCAAAAACTTTTATTAGCTAATTTTTCTATTTAAACAAATAAGTGAGGAAAACAGTTTTTTCACTTTGCAGGGAAAACCATCAATTTTAGCGAAAAGTGACTCTCAGACAGCTTATAGGGAGTAAAATTATCTACAAAATGAGACTGGTTAAATTAAAATCGGTTAATAAACAAAAAAGTTATTGCAAAAAAACAAGAAAAGTGCCCATTTTTTCATTTGTTTATAACTATCGCATTTATTGTTAAAATTTTATAAAACCTATGACAAGTTGAGGGTTTTGTCATACTTTAAAAGTGTGCCAAAAGTGGGCGCTGTAGGTGCAATAGTTTTCGCACAATTCTATTTGTTTATAGCGGAGGCTCCAAAAGTTATGAACTTTAAGCCTCTGTACAGACGTTAATTTTCAATCAAACATGATTCTGAAAGCGTCATTGTAATCTTAAAGACGCAATTAAGCGACCTATTAAAAAATATCACCGTTTTTTTGACATTAACATTCTCAAATTGTGCATTAAAAAACCGTGCGTTTTTCGCTTATAAACAATTTGAATAACATTGTTGCTATTTATGCTATCTCACCGAAAATAGATGCAATGGATAGCTGGCAAAAAAATACAGTTTTAAAATAAAAAAAGTGCCCTCTACGACCAACAGGAGCCAAGATAAGAATCTTTTTTTAAAAAATCGTAGCGCAATTGTTTATAAATATTAAGACTTGAATTTTTCGCAAAATAAAGTTTACGACGTAAACTACGATTTCCCGTGAATTGCATTGAAAAATGTGGAAAATTAACGACTCACGAGCCCTTTAAAGAGAAGGTACTCGCTAAGTAAACTGTCCGGCGGCCGGCGGCGTGGTGGTGGGGGAAGTGCGCGCTGTAAATTTTGCAATATCTCGGCTTCTATTCATCGTAGAAACTTTTTTTTTTTTTAAACTGGGGTAGCTCGACGAAAAAATAACAATGGGCATATTTACGAATTCGTAGAATAGCCCTGAACCCCAGAAAAAATGCATCTTTTATAATTAATTTTTTTTAATTTACAAAAATGTCACAAAAATTATTGTTAAACGAAATATTAATTAAAATTTCAATTTCGGAATTATTTTACTATTATTAAATAAATAAATGAAGCTATCGTTCATTTAAAAAGTTATTTCTTTTACATATTAAGGCAAAGTAAACTTGTTTTTTCAATATTTTGTTAGCTATTTAATTACGATTTAAATGTAAAATTAAAGTAAAAATTCACAAATTATTTTCAAATTATTATTTATTGTTAAAAGATTTAAAAAAGAATAAAAAGCATTTGAATTTATTGCAAAATTCTCAAAATTAAAAAATATTAATAAAAATAATGCCTTCGATAAAATTACAATTTTAACTTCTTGAAATTTTAATATATAAAGTTTTTTTTATTATACTTATTACTAATTTTAAACAAAAAAATGTTTGCAACATAATCAAAATTAATTAAAAAAATATTAATCACAACCATTTTCAATAACAGATATAATGCAATATAACACAATTTAAAATTTTAAGTTTTTTCTATTTTTATGATTCACGGGAAATCGTAGTTTACGTCGTAAACTTTATTTTGCGAAAAATTCAAGTCTTAATATTTATAAACAATTGCGCTACGATTAAAAAAACATATCTTGGCTCCTGTTGGTCGTAGAGGGTGCTTTTTTAAAAAAAATTGTATTTTATTGCCAGCTATCCATTGTATCTATTTTCGGTGAGGTAGCATAAATAGCAACAATTTTATTCAAATTGTTTATCATCGAAAGACCCACGGTTTTTTAATGCACAATTTGAGAATGTTAATGTCAAAAAAACGGTTATATATTTTAATAGGTCGCTTAATTACGTCTTTAAGAATACAATGACGCTTTCAGAATCATGTTTAGTTGAAAATTAACGCCTGTACAGAGGCTTAAAGTTCATAACTTTTGGAGCCTCCATTATAAACAAATAGAATTGTGCGAAAACTATTGCACTACAGCGCCCACTTTTGGCACACTTTTAAAGTATGACAAAACCCTCAACTTGTCATAAGTTTTATAAAATTTTAACAATAAATGCGATAGTTATAAACAAATTAAAAAATGGCACTTATCTTGTTTTTTTGCAATAACTTTTTTGTTTATTAACCGATTTTAATTTAACAAGTCTGTCTGAGAGTCACTTTTCGCTAAAATTGATGGTTTTCCCTGCAAAGTGAAAAAACTGTTTTCCTCAATTATTTGTTTAAATAGAAAAGTTAGCTAATAAAAGTTTTTGACTCACGAGATGAGATATGTCTTGTATTATGTTACTTTAGATAATTTTACAATAATCTCGCGGATAGGACTTTTTTCACTAATTCTCCTGATGTAGATCTTTATTTCCCAATAATAGAATAAAAATAAGAATATAAATGGATAGGGCGAATTGTCAGTAAAACTGTTTTTCAACTTACCCCTACTACAAATAAGATAAAATAAAAATGTGACACATAATGAGTAGATAATAAAATACATAAATAAAATGATTACGATAAATATATGGATTACTTTTCGAGATAGGTATATCGAAAAAACCGTCAAAAATCGACAATTTTGTTTTGCTGATCTCTCGCAAATTAAAGTTTTGAAACTTGTTACTTGCTGTAAATGTAGCCCTCGGCAAGCAAAAAAAGTANATAAAATGATTACGATAAATATATGGATTACTTTTCGAGATAGGTATATCGAAAAAACCGTCAAAAATCGACAATTTTGTTTTGCTGATCTCTCGCAAATTAAAGTTTTGAAACTTGTTACTTGCTGTAAATGTAGCCCTCGGCAAGCAAAAAAAGTACCTTTTTTAAAATTAAAAGATATTAAAAACTTTTCGAATTATATCGATTTTACGAAAAAAAAAGGTCATCTCGAAAATCGGCCCTTCTTGCTCGACGAAAAGTCGTAGAGAAACGAATCAGGGCTAATTTTTTCTTAAGAGTTGTACTTTCATGGTAAAAAAAGTGATAACTGTTTTATTCATTTCAAGTGCCCAAAGATGACCGAAAAAAGTAAAAATTGTTTGGTCGCGTTTTTCTTGAATATCTTTTTCGATTTTCATTTCTCGATAATATCTATTACATACATATATATATTCTCTGATAGTCAAGCTGCAATTAAAGCTTTAGCCGCACACAAATTAAGTTCAAAACTGGTGTGGGATTGTTTACAAATTCTGACTGAACTGGCCACCAACAATACAGTCAGACTGTGTTGGGTGTCAGGGCACAAAGGCATTTGTGGAAATGAGAAAGCGGATGAACTTGCTAGGAAGGGATCCGAGACAGAGTTCATTCGCCCGGAGCCCTTCTGTGGCACATCTCCCAGTGTGGTCAGGCGGGCTCTGGGCAAATGGACAGAGACAGAACATAGGAAATACTGGACTTCAAGGCCAGGACATAGCCATTCCAAGGAGCTTATGGAGTATCCTTCGAATGGAAGAGCGAATGAGTTACTGAGCTTGAATAGAATCCGGCTCAGGAGAGTGACAGGACTCATAACGGGACACTGTCACTTTAGGAAACATCTACATAAGCTAAAGCTTGTAGACAGTCCGGTCTGCCGAGGATGTGAATCGGCGGATGAAACTTCTCTGCATATCCTGGGCGAGTGCCCGGGATTTGCACGTAGCAGAATGGCGCTCCTTGGGAGACCCTATTTGGAACCCAAGGAACTGAGAGAAGTGTCAGCAAGAAAGCTTTTGGACTTTGTAAAAAGGACAAATCTACTTGCTGAATAGGACTAGTAGTGGGACGCACAATAGGCCTAATTAGGCCGCAGTGCTATGGGACTTATTAGGACCAACCACTAGATGAAGATGAGATGAGATGTCTATTACAGGAATCGATTGCTGGCATATTTACGCGAATTTAAAAAAAAAAACGTTACTCTTCGGCCTTCTGAAGCCGAGATAATTTTTTTTTCAAAAAATTCCACAGGCTGCTATTTAAGTGCTACAACGTCCATTCTTACAGAGATTGAAGTTGAATACTTATATTTTCCAGAAAAGCATACTGTGGTTCATTTCATAGCCACTTCTGCATTTTTAATTGTGCGCCAAACTGAAGCATTTTTGAAATGTACAAGTGTTTTTTACATTGTGATGCATCCCAATGTGAAAATTTTGAAACTCCAAACATCCAATTAGACGATGATTCTTTTGACGCGTTTGAATCACTCATTGATGCAACGAATTATGTGGAAAATATAGGAAACGAACCATGGAAGAAGAAGAAAATGAATCACAGTCGAGGGAATTGAAGAGAAGAAGAATTGAAACATAAGAGCGATATACATAAGCTGTGAATATAAAAAATGTAATAGACGAATATTTTTATACCACGTAATTTTTTGTACAACACCTAATTAAATAAATATTTTGTAATACTTTTATAACAAAAAGATATAATTACCATAAAACGATGTACTTACTTACTTTATTTCATAAACAATTATTGAAATGTTAACAAGAGTGGAGAAAATTTTTAGTCTAAAGGAAAATTACATTTTTCAAATCGCGCGAACTCAGTTTTCGAAGCGGCCGAATAGCTTTAGCCCCACTCCGCCGCCCGCTACAGTTAGCTCGCGCCGCGCTCGAATGCTTCGGTTTGACGCACAATTAAAAATGCAGAAGTGGCTAAAACGAACCACAGTTTTTTTTATTGAAAATATGTTTTCAACTTCAATCTCTGTAGCTGTAGCGCTTAAATAGCGGTCTGTGGAATTTTTTGAAACAAAAAAT